AAGCTCTAAAATTCCAAATAATACATTGTGTTGTTTGAAATACAACTTAAAATATATGACAAATTGTCAGATTATTTCACTTAACTATCAGTATAAATGTGCATTTGAAATACAGCTTTATCCTTTAATTTGTTGCTTTTTTGTAAGAGGAATGCTTTTTGTTTATTACTTGAACTGTCATAGTTTTAAATCCATAACACACCATATACTATTATTACTTTCTAATATATTTTTCACAAAATATTGTTTTGTGTTTCATATGACTAAGAAAAGTGCTTTTCATATTTTCTTTATTTTATCTTCTAGAGTGACACTAAAATCTAAAGCAAAAGTTGCACCGGGTCCCAGCTTCTAAAATCCTAGAAAATGAAAGATCAGGAATCCACCTCTAGACGGCAGAGAAGCTCCACAAAAAAATATGGCCATCCCTCTAGTCTTGACAGTCTAGGGCACTGAGAGTGGCTCTCTCAGCAGGGTGCCTTGGTCCAATGTGGCTGCATGACCAGGGACACGTGGGATGAGCTTCCAGGGTGGTGATCTGTGGGGAATCCCAGTCTGCTCATAGACTGGAAGCATGGTCCTTCCTCCTACTCCTGGTCTGTTGCTCCAAACAGGCACTATTTTTAGGAATGCATTATATTCCCAGTTTTAGATGCTGAAGCTCTATTCTAACATGGATATTTTTAGAAAAAGAGCCTACTATAAGTGAATAAAGGTTAAATGAGATCATATACTTTGGTAGAAATTCCAAAGTGCTAATGATTTTAGAAGAAGACACATTTGAGACACCGCATTTTACTGCCCTCATTGCTACAGAGGAAAATCTTCCTGAGAACACAGCAAAAATGTTGAAATATAAGAAGACAGCCTAAAACAAATTGATCACCTGAAGGACACCATGCTTTTTTCCAGCATCTAGAATTGAAACAATATAAAATGTCTCCCCAGTCCATAATAATTTGATCCTCTGTGGCAGTGTGGGGAGACCAGTGTCCCATCCTAAACTTTCTTTAGCAGGAGCAGCCTCAGGAGGAACCTGGTAGATGAGAGGTTGGGCTTTGTTCTGGCCCTGTCATGATTCTCGGGGTAACTGTTGGGTAAACTGTTGGGGCTTCCACCTCAGTGGATTAGCATGGAACACATTGCAGGGGAAGCTGTTATCTGTTTGGTGTCTGATCAGATCTGTGTGTTTACTTGGTCTTGGTGGTTGAAGACACTCATGATTCTTGCCCAAGTATCGATAGCATCCATAGCTCACAGGAGGAGCCACCTGTTCTCCAGCCCCTCCTCTCACCACTGCTGCCTGCACAGGATGACAGACTGAGTCAGCCAAATAGATCTGGAACAGGGGTCACTCTGGCCATTAGCACACAGGGGCGAATGCCCAGCTCCCTTCACACTCAACGGTAAATTCTTCTCCAGCCCAGTTAAAGCTGACATTGAGGTCTCTGGAGATTTCAGGGAAGCAGCCTGGACACAGTTCTGAGATTACAACCTCTCTCTCCATCCCTTGAATTGTTCCTTAAAGGACACCTGCGTTGCACTTCACCTGCTCTCTGAATGGACAGTTTACTGTGCTCTGTGACCCACTGCCCTGAATTCCTCAGGTTCAATTGGCTTTAGATCACACCTGGCTCTCCCTATTTTTAGAATTAGTCATTTGTCCTTTCACACATCCTGCCCACTTGCTTCTAGTCCAATGGGGATCTTCAACAAGAGACAGAGAGAAATAGTTCATGTTATGGCAAATTTTGGAATAACACAGCAACAGAGAAGTCCTTGCATGTATTCGAAGTATGAATTTTTAAATAGCTATGTAAATTTTCAGACTAGATCCAGTCATGTGTTGTGTGTATCTCAGCTGCAGTACCTCCCAGGCAGGTGCAGTAGGAGGGGCAGACCTTGGTTAATCTCAAACAATTTTATCTTCCTAGGGATAGTACTGAGTAACCCTAAAATTGTGCTACTTAAAATATTAAATGTGAAAAGTACATTGCTAGATAAATCAAAATTAAAACCTTAGTTCCTTGATTGCACTATGCCCATTACTAGTGCTGAACAGACATGGGTGGCTCATGCCAGGCTGTGGGTCAGCACAAATGCACCATTTTACAGGGTGTTAGGAAATCATTTTGGTCAGTGCTGTTCAAATTACCTGTGCCACTCACATTGTTACAGTCAGAGCAGAGACTTCACCAAGCTTTACTCCCGTGCTCTTGAGGGTTCAGCTGTTTTTCTTTTTTCTCCCCCAACACTGAATCAACATTTATTTCAGGAAATGTTCTGTCCCAACTAATCTCTAACAAGACAATTTTTCTTTCGCACTGGGACTGTGTTAGAAAAGCAGTTTAAAAAGCCATGCCTCATTGGAGTAAACCTCAGAGATGTGTGGGAAGAGGGTTACATAATAACATTTTTCTGTTCAACTCATAATACAAATGTTGTCTGTGTATCACAAGATGATGGTGATTAAAACAGGAAGCAGAGGAAGAGAGGGAGAGAGGGGAAGATAATTTACTTCCAGTGAGGAAGTGTGATGTTACATTGTCTTCTTCGCATCTTGATACTGTGTAAACTACTGATTATTGCAGAAACTCAGGAGGTATTTCCAGTGCTGTGATTCAGATATTATCTTCCTGACAGCAATGTGTCTACAAGTGTGTTTATCATATTAGAGAAAATCTCAGAATAACTTCTAAATATTAAAGCAATGCACTGATGGTTTCTTTGGTCTCTGAAGGTAAATATATATTACCTCAGTGACAGAGGTCTTATTAGATGCAATAAAACAACTAAAATTAGACTATTTAGAAATGTATAATCTGATAACATTACAGATAAAAGTATAATTGCAATTTAAATGTAAATCTTTATCATGAGCAAATCAAATGATACAGACCTATATGTCTAAGTAATCATATTATATAGCCTTAAAAAACCAATCTTTAAAAACTGCTGAAAATATGGAATAAACTTGAAAAATTTGTTACCATGTGTATCTTGAATACAAATGTCTGTAGCAAAGTGTTTGCTATTCTGAAAGTGTCCCCTTGGTTGCGACCTTTATGCGTTATTATCTCATTGTTCTTTTTGAACCTCATCGATGCTTTTTTAAGTTTTCTGGAATGAGTCAATATTCACGGTACTTTGAACAATACCCATAATAGCAGAGTTACCAATGTACCAACAGTAAAACTCCCAACAAATTTAGTGCTGCTAGGTCACATAGCTGCGATATTATATTCCTATCTTTCAAGTTTGTTGTTTTCAATGAAAATTCAAAGCAATTCATGGCTGAGAGATGTTGAAGTGTGAGGTATGAATCTATTGATGATGGAGACCCTTAGAGGAAGAAGATGATGGCAGAAGCAGAAATGTGCCTGGGCTCCAAGGCTAGCTGTCATTCCTTCCTCACAGTCTGTGCGAAGTCTGGGAAGTGTGAGGTGGAGAGTGGTTTGCAGGAGCTCAGTACACCTGGGATCTTATTCCTCAGGTTTCACAGTTGCAAAGTTGCTCACCAATCTCTCAGTGTATCAGTAGGGGAGCTGTCCAGGTTCTCATGCAATGTTCTGGAAGGGGCTCTGGGATAGGAAGAATGAGCTGGCATTAATACATCTATACCATAATTCTTTAGTATACAAACTTTTCCTGCAAGGTCTTCAGAGACTTGTGGTATTTTCCAGAACTAAATCTGTTATATCATGTGGGATACAATGGCATATTCACTGTTCTATTACTGATAAATTTTTAGATCTTTAGGACAACTGGTGGTCTTTGTCCTTAGTAGAAAGCTGATTAAGAGAAATCATTTGAATTTTCTATAGAATCTTGTACATGAATTGATAGACTAGAATGAGCTTCGTGAATACAGTTGAAAGAGATTTAGTCAAGACATAAGAGTACCGAAATGAGCCTCTTTCAGCCTAGACAGGAGGAGGGAATTGGAGGCTCATGTGACCAACTTCAAAGTGACATACATGAGTAATGAAGGAGGTGGACAGGTACTGGGAAAATTTTTCATTCACCTGAAGTCATAGGGTTGGGGATGAAAAGCTTTGTCTCAATTTCTTCCAGAAACAGTTATGGGAATACTTGTGGAACAGAGACACTAAAAGCAGCTCTCTTCCGATCATGAAACACTGAGACCAACACTGAAAATTCTGCGCACTGAAGCATACATGTTCTTTCTGCTGTATCCAAGCTGATGCACTGGTTCTAAATTTGTTAAAATCCAGATTTTCTATGAGGGTTTTAATAGTTGCTCCAGTTACTATTATTGGCTTCAAAGATGATTCCAACTTATTTTGAAAAGAAAGTAATAGCTAGAATCTGGTTGGAGTTTAGAGCTGCTCTTCCTAGGAAGTTAGGAAAATTATGTACTCATGTGTGTGTCTGTTAGACATGAAGGACTAGAAAACATAATATATAGAGAAACTGAAGTACATTCAGAAAATGTATAAATTCCACCCCCTTTCTGTCTTTACTTCTCTTTTTAATAATGTAATCCAGAAATGTCCACTTTCTCTCCTTAATTTCTGTTTCTCCAAGGTTTTGTTATGTAACTTTGGATAAGGAGCACAAGCATAGTAATTTCTGGACTTTGAAGGGGACAGTAATTCACTCCAGTAACAGGAGAGCAGCCTGATTCTGCCCCATGACCCATGTAACAAACATGTTTTCTGTAGGAAACTTGGGCTGTCCTGGTCTGAACAGGGACCCCAGTTGTCAGGTGGCCCATGGGGCGATGAGGCAGCCCTGCAGCTGAGCCCAGCCCCACTTAGCACTTGATTTTCATGTTCTGGGGAGCACAGCCCACTGCCTTCAAAACATTTGAACAGGGCTGGGGGTTTAGCTCAGCGGCATAAGTGCCTGCCTTACAAGCAGGCAGTCCTGAGTTTGATCCCCGGTGCCGATTTAAAAAAAGAAAAAGACAAAAAAAAAAAAAAAAAATTTGAACAGGCTGCTCGCACCCTGTTCAGGACTCAGTGTCAGCACACAGCATGGACATGAGAGTCTCCGCTCAACTCCTAGGGCTCCTGTTGCTCTGGCTGCCAGGTAAGGACGGGTAGCACTGGAGATTTCCTCAGTACTAGGTGGTCAGTGCTTCTTGGCTCTTCAAAAATGGCCAGCCAATTATGGTTTTTCAGGATTAATTGTAATGGCATTTGTTATGTTTCCATTATCAGTTGCCAGATTTGATATCCAGATGACCCAGTCTCCATCTTCCATATCAGCATCTTTAGGTGACATAGTCATCATCAGTTGTCATGTGAGTCAGGATATTTACAAATGGTTATTCTGGTATCAGCAAAATCCAGGGAAAGCTCCTAAATTGCTGATCTATGGTGCAACCAACTTTCACACTGGGGTCCCACAGAGGTTCAGTGGCAGTGGAACTGGGACAGATTTCACTCTCACCATCAGCAGCCTGCAGCCTGAGGACGCTGCAACTTATTACTGTCAACATAGTTATGGTACACCTCCCACAATGATGCAAGCCATAACAAAAAACACCTAGAGAAGAAGTGTGACCCTCAGCTGCCCCGCTGCTCTTTCTGGAGTTCCCATGTACACAGAGCATTTCTAAGATAAAACAGACTCTAAGGTCACTGGAGGTTTTGGTAGAAGGTGTAGGGGAGTCTCCTCTACACCCTGGCTCTCCTTCTTCCTCCCCAGCTCTGAGCACAGAGCTCACAGCTCCTGAAGGACACTGATTTGATGGTCAACCTTAAGCTGTGTGCACTGTGGCATTATTTTGTATTTTATATAGAAACAGAGGGGCCCTGCTAAGTGTTCCAAGAAAGACTTTTTAAAGATTTATATCATGTTATAAAGTAGATTTCAGGTCAGAGGAACAAGTTCGGAGGTGTATCCTTCATACCCCATGCTGTGAACACCTACACAATCTCTTGATCATCAACATCCAATTATAATTTTGTTATAATCAATCAAGGTCAATTCACATTTAACATCTATATTTCACATTAAGGTTCACTCGATGTGTATTTCAACAGCACAACCATATAGATAATGATTAATGATATGTACAATATAAATTGGTTATGGCTGTTTGTGGTTTTTGTGTCCTGAGACTTCTCTAGATTCTACCTCTTTTTAATCCTTCATTCTCATTTCCTGCAAGTCATTCATGTTGTACCTTTCCTGTAAGTCTTCCTTCTTCAAGAATGAGTAAATATTCAAATTTATATTATGGAAGTGTTTAAAAAATTAATCTCCCAATACATTACAGTATGGAGCACACTAATGAAAATCCTGAGTATTACACTGCACTTTTACAAAGCCTGTCTGTCTCTCCTCTGTTGTTTCCCTGCATACCAGGCTAACAATATACCTATAATTGTGTTTATTATCTGATAGAGAACCTCCTGACAAGCAGTAAATATGAAAAAAATGCACTCTCAGTTCCTTTTATTCATAGGATTTCAAGGAAAAGACATGTACCTCATTGACAAAGCTCTAGCTTTATCAACAAAACAACTAATGACTGAATAGTTTAGAAAAGCAAAATACTATGTCACTATAGCTGAAATAATACATGAAGTTTAAACAGAAGATTTTATCACAAATGAACCAAACTGTACAGACATACATCATTAGTTCATCAACCAAACTACATAGACTTAAAAACCCAACATTTAATAAATGCTAAAATAAAAAGAATACCTGTACATTGCTGCTGTATTTTCATTTTCAACTTGCTGACATATGTCTGTAGAAAAGTATGTGCTACTTCACAACGGCCCTTCCGTCTGAGCACTGTATGTGATATCACTGGCTCTTTATGTTTCAACAACATTGGTTTTCTTGGAAGGGTCCCAGAGTGATTTAACCCTGGTGATACTATGAACAACACTGCTTTGGAGTCAGCAATGTATCTGCAGTTAAGCTCTTGACCAGTCTAGGACAGCTATGTCCCGTAGTTGCAGTTGAACTGTTCCATTGTCCAAGATCATGTTTTCAGTAACCATTCAGGCAGTCTTTGCTGGGAGATGCTAAACTCTCTGGCATGATTCTGATGATCCCGGGTACCCGTAATTGAAGCAGATATTGGAGGAAGCAGGAATGTGCCTGTGTTCTGAGGCTAGCTCCATTCCTTTCTTCAGAACCCATTGAGGACACTGGAGAGGGAGAGATGGAGAGTCAGTTGCTGGAGCTCTGTGCTTCTGGGTTCTTCCCATTTCTCAGTTGCCACAGCTGCAGCCAATCACCAACCACTGTGCAGGTCACATAGGGTGATGGAATTCTCACAGGCTGCTCTTGAAGGGTTTGGGGATGGGGCGATGGGGCTGGGTTAGCAGATCAAGATCATGGCTGCTCAGCCTTCCAACACTGCCTGTCACTCCACCCTAGGTGGTCTACAGCTCACCTTGTTCTTTGCCCAATCTATATCTTAGGAAGAGGAATCATTTTAATTTTTTTTCCAGAATTTTGACCAGTAGTGGATACCAGAGAATCTGCTTCACGATTGTGAGTGAAAAATTTAACTAAGATATTAGGACCACAAAAACAAAAATTAATAAGATAAAATAACAAAAATAAAATAAAATTGTGCTGTGTTACAAATGTTCCATTTGGTAGTGAACAGCACCACAATAAACCAGCAAGGAGGTCTCATACTAGGAACACAAGGACTGTAGATGTAATGCTTTCCCACTAGGGAGCCTCTAATGCAGGGAGCTCTGACTAGCTCTCTAAGCTCACCTGCCAGGGGACCTCTGTGCAAAATGGGTCACGCCTTTTTCATTGGCTAATTCTTTAGTATTTCCTGTATTACTTTGTAATTGTTAAGGTACCCAACTATGATGACCTTCCCAGGAGGTGTCTGCTTCAGCAATGAAGCAGAACAGGTGAGAGAAAAGGGCCACAACTCTGAATGTGGCCAGCAGTAAGTGAAACACGAGTGAAGGGGCCTCATGCTTTCAGAGGTGGAGGTGACAGCTCTCACAACTCAACTGGGTTCATTGATGCAGAAGAGACACATTGGAGAAATCCCTTAGAGGAGTGACAGGTGGGGGGCACAGAGACTGTGATGCAGACCTGCTCCCCTGCTGCTCTCCAGAGTTCTCAGTAATGGGTCCAGGTGATTGCTCAGTCTACAGAGGATGAGGGTGGACTGAAAGCTTCATTCTGCTCATACAGGGCAGTGGGGAGGGAGCAGGATATAATGAGACAACTCTGGGCTTTCACTGTTCATTTTAAATTTGCCAGAATTTACAATAATACATTATGAAATATATTAAAATAATCATATTCACTTCATTAGTTTAACACTTAACATATTACATGCATATTGCAAATAAGCAATTTATCTATTTACTTGTTTAATGCATGCTTTTCATCTTTCTTAGCATATTAGGAGCTGAGTAAGTAATACTCTGTGAATGGGACATTTACTAACCCCTTCTTAGCCTCTGCCCCTGAAGGAGCAATGAGAACATTGCTGAGAACAACTGGTCCCTGGTCCAGATCTCTCCCATCAACTGCAGTGCTTCGAAATCTACTAAGCCATTAAATTTACTGCCCACATCTCCTGGATTCCTGAAGTCACCCTGGTATCAGGATTCAGGAAGATGAGATTTCCTTGTTACTCTAGAGCTCCACCTGTTCCTAACACAAAAGATAAAGTTTTTCTTCACATCATTCTTCTCCATCCAATACGAGTTAAAGACCCTGAGCCAGTTATTTTGAAAGGGGACTACTATAAATTAACAATGACCCAGAAGTTATCCCTGATTTCTTCTGTCTTTGCAGCAGCTCTGGCCTGCTGTGCAGGGCAAGCACAGATGAACCTCTTTATCCTAAACAGGAGTAGGGATTTGGAGGCTCATGTGACACCCTCAGAAGGGAGATAAAAGAGGAATGAATGGGATGAACAGGTACTGGGAAAGATTTTTATATCTCACATGGGAAAGGGAAGTGAAAAACTTTGCCTTAATTTCTTTCAGAAACAGTTTTGGGACTACTTGGTGCATAGAGACTTCACTGCCCTCTGGAGATCAGGAGACCGCACATTCAACTTTTAAAAGTACACAGTTGGAGGTTCCAAAAGTAAGAGGAAAGAATTTGGGTCATTTCTACTGTATCCAAGGGACTAAAGCATTCCAAAGTATTCTAACACAGAGACTTTCACTTACCACTTTAAATATTTCTCAGAGCAAAAAACTGCCATAGAAGGAAGACAGGCAGAAACCTCTGCTCCTGTGTGTGCTTGAGGAAAGCCTGGGGTTGGACAGCAGCATTGCTCAGGTCCTCCCCTGCTTTCTCAGTCATCCTGTGATGGTGAGCAGAGGATCCCAGACAAGTTCACAGAGCTCACAAATTCTGCTCTGTTCTCTTTATTTCTCATTTTATGCTCTTGGCTTGAAGCAGCCCATTTGTTTCCATTACTTGTTCCTTCTCAAGGGATCCTGTCACTGGACCATGGTCCTCAAGCAAAGCTTGATCTGATAAGTAAGAACAGCAGTTCATTCTACACACAGGAGGGCAGCTTGATTCTGTCCCGTGGCGCAAAGGAGAAACACTTTCTCTGCAGGCAAATCTGTGCTGCCCTGGTGTGGACAGAGACCACAGGGAACACTGAGCCTGTGCTGAGATGTGCTAACACTGGATCTGGGCTAAACCTCATGAGCCCCTGATGATTTGCATATCCCAAGAGGCCAGTCAGCTGCTTGAGGTCTAACCCTGTGCAAGTTCAGTCCCAGTCAAGACACAATATAGACATGAGAGTCCCTGCTCACTTTCTGGGCCTCTTGTTGCTCTGGGTACCAGGTAAGGAAGGACAGTGCCAGAAATGTGCTCAGTGGTGGGTTCAGAATAACCTGACTTTTCAGGGAGGTCCTGCTTTATCATGAATAACCATGTTGTTATTTGTTGTTTCCCATCTCAGGTGCCAGATCTGACATCCAGTTGAGGCAGCCTCCATCTGCATCTGTGTCTGTGGGAGACACAGTCACCATCTCTTGCCATACCAGTAAGGGCATTAGCAATTACTTAAACTGGTATCAGCACAAACCAGGGCAAGCTCCTAAATTCCTGATATATTGTGCCACCAATTTGCAGTCTGCAGTCTCATCAAGGTTTCCTTGCAGTGGATCTGGGACAGATTTCACTCTCACCATCAGCAGCCTGCAGCCTGAAGTCTTTGAAAATTATTACTATCAACAGTATAGCAGTGTCCCTCCCATAGTGATACAAGCCAGGACATAAACCATAGCAGCAACTGAATTTATGACCACAAGCTTGCCAGGCAGGTGCTTGCCTCACTTAGCTAAATCCCAAGCCAGTCAGTTGTATTTACCAGTGGAGCACTGGCACTGTCACTGTTCCTTTTCATATCTTTCAAATCCATTCACTTTTTCACTGAATCTGTATCTGTCTTCTACAAGGCAGGGAAAATCCTTTGCACATGCTGATCTATTTCCTCAGAAATGGAAAAAAAAAGAAAAACAGGGTTGGTTTAATTTCACACTGAAAAAATATTTTTCTTTTAAATTTCTT